CCTCCTATATATATATATATATATATATAGGGAAAAGTTTAAATAGAGCCGATGCTCTAAACAATCAAATTTGAGCCTTCCTCAAAACTTTCACTAGAAGCGGTTGTTTTGATGCCAAAATATCTTCAAATTGATCATCTCAACTTCAAGATGCATGGACATGAGAAAAAAATGGATTTCAAGTTTTGGAAATAGTGTATTTTCTAAAGCATTTTTGGACCATCAATTTTCAAGTTTTCATAGATCTGTCGATTACACTATTTTTTAAGCTTTAAACTTTATAAATAAAGATAAAAATATATTTTAAGGCTATCGCAAATATTTTCAGTATTGAAGCCATATTTCTCGATACTATTTGAAGGTAGGCTCTAATTTGATTGTTTAGAGCCTAGGCTCTATACAAACCGCACCCATATATATAAAATCATTGGGTGGGTGATCTTCCTTGTAAAAATTAGTTCTAGTATGAATTTTCTGCTCTCTATGTGCAGTTTGTGAATTTCACAGAAATTATGTCAAAAAATGTGCCGTCATTGAGAAAGGAGACAGAATTCGCGCTTGCAGCATTGATGGAAATTCCTTCACAATACAAAGCAACATTAGAGCTCAATATCTTGGGGTATGATTGCACAGTTCTATTATGCAGTAACTTAAAAGAAAAGGTCCACGTATTTGATTGAGTTTTTTATATGGAACAATTCATTGTTTTGTTGTTCTTTTGAACTGTTTTGAATAAATCGAAGCTTGGGGTTAATTGTCAAATATGTCTTTATTCTCAAGCAGTCGCCGAAGAGGGAGGGCTCCTGAAAGGGTTTGTCTCCCCCCCCCTATTGACAATTATGGTGGAGCTTCTTTACCCTCGAAGAACTCGCGGGCTGCTAGTTTTCAACAGAGTACTAGTTTCCATCAAAGCACATCATCCAATCATGGATACGACACTAGTATGAGCTCGGCTCCACCTGCTAGTGCTGCTTGGGATAACCAGGTATGTATTATCATGATAGATGGGCGAGGAGGGATGTGAGAGAGAGAGAGAGAGAGACTGTTCAAATTATCTATTTGTAAAAGTCCCTAATTATTGCAGTGCTGGAAGTATATATATCGGAAAAGATTCTATAGGCCAAGCAAGCGAACTATAGCTACAATATGAGCAAAGCGGCCAAAGCACCTACATTATTGACATGCACACACACACAGCAAATGCTTAGACTGAGCAGTTCCTACTTTTGTTTCCTCTCTTGTTTTTTTTTTTAAATATCTTGACTTACTTTCTTAATCTAAAATAGTTGATTGGCTGGAAATTGATATGGGCTAATATTGGTGTCTGTGAGGCTTCTCCTTATCAATCTATGACTTGGTCAGGATACCATTGTCATTACCCTTGATACCTCATAACCTTCATTTTTGTCTTATTTGAAACAGTCTTGCCCCATTTGCCTCACCAATAACAAAAACATGGCTTTTGGGTGTGGTCATCAGGTGAGTTAAAGCCTCTTTACTTGAAAGTTTAGTTTCTTTTCCTGCTTCATTAATGCCAGGTAAAAGTGACAAGCATACGTTGCAGACTTGCTGTGATTGTGGACAAGACCTTCAATTGTGTCCCATTTGCCGCAGTCACATAGATACCAGAATAAAGCTCTACTAGAGGTCCGGCCACTCATTTCCTCTATGAGCACATTGTGCAAGATGCAGACTCGGAAAGATATCAATGTGGCTTTTCCATTCATCTTCTTGACCTGTGGTTTAAACATATCATGTAAATCGCAGACGAATTCAATGCAAGTGGGTTGCGAGTGGGTTGCTGATGAACCATCAACCTGAAATTCTTGCTTCTCTGGTAGGGAATGTGTCAATCAGCTGGAGCAGCATGAAATAATAACCTCAGGGTTGTTTATATCGAGAATGGTACCCGTGTGTTCTTTTCTTTACCCCTTTTGCTTTCATTTCATCTATTGGTTCTTTCGTGTCCCTTTGCCTTCGGGTAAATTATTTTTCCCTTAATTTTCCTGGGGATGAATCGGTAAAACAATTTTTGGGAAACTTGGGGATGCTTTTGGTTTTTTTGCATTTGCTTTTACTCTGATTTATGTATACATATTTTTTTCATTGGAAGTTCTTTTTTGGGTGATTATGGGACTTTTGGCTTTCGACTTTGTTCTTTCTAGGATCAGCATTTGCTAAACCATGGAAACTTGTGCGTGTTTGTTGTTGATATGTTCATACAATTGGATATATTTTTTAATCTAATTGATAACAGATAAAATGTAGTCAGGTGGGTTATCTCTGCTCCACTCGGTGTTTGGACCCGACTGGCCATTTAATCCATGATGGGGTTGGCCCTGTTGAAATTGGTCAGGCCAGCTGTTGAACCGGTCAAGCAGTTTCTGAAATATCCATATATCTAAGACAATTGTTTGACAATCATGAAAAGAGTATTAGGATTTGGGTTTCACAATTATGATGATCAAACTTTTTTGGCTTAGGGTTGTGTACGACAACCTCCAATCTGATATGACGCTTTTTGTGCTGGAAAATAGTAGATTTAGATTTTATTCTGAAGGTGACAAAATAAACAACATGGGGATAAAATTTCAATCTATATGAGATAATTGAATAAAATGGGGTGAAGGAAATAGAGTGAAAATACAATTTAAGTTTCTGGGGGGTCACTATTTGGGTTATAAAAATGGTGGAATGGGTTAAAAATTGGAGTTTGGCCAAAATTCAAGAAAATCTAAAACTAGTTGGTCGCAAGATAAAGAGCGAAACCAAGTAAAGAAATCAAGTTCTTTGGTTTGAAGTTAATGATCATGTTGAAAGTGGTGTAGGAGGATAGGCTGAAAAGTTATAAGCAGGATGAATCAAAGAACTCTTGAAAGATCAGAAGAAACTATGTTTGAAAATTTAAAATGCATGTAATGAGATTATTTACTTTTGATATAAAGTGGTTACAATCATTAACAATCTTTTTTTGGAAAAAACATCGAGTGGTTGAGGATGATGTGTGGGCATATAGTTTAAAAGAAAATTTTTTGAATGTTGTGATGTGTTTCAATTTATTGGATTTCATATAAAAATGTTGGTAACCTTGTACAAAGCATAAAAGGTGCGGTTTGTATAGAGACGAGGCTTTAAATGATCAAAGTAGGTGCACTTTCAAATAGTGTTTAGAATGTGGTTTTTGTAATGAAATATTTGTAATAGCTTTAAAATATATTTTCACTTTTAATTCTTAAATTTAAAGCTTAAAAAATGGTGTAGATTGAGTAAAATTATGTAAAATTGAAAATCTTGAAAATTGACGGTCCAAAAAATGTGTTACATGATGCACTATTTTCAAAACTTGAAATTTATTTATTTTATTATTATTATGTATCATGTCCATGCTTTTTGATGCTAAGATGATCAATTTGAGGATATTTGGGCATCAAAACAACCTCTTCTAGTGCACTTTTTGAGGTGGGCTCTAATTTTACTGTTCAGAGCTTCAGCTCTATATAAATTTGTTCCAAACATATATGGTCTCGTAATATACAATCCCATAATAAAATAGATTGGGGTTAGTTTAACTAGGGTAATTACGCACTAATTTTTTTAATTGGGGTTAATAACTAGTTTTAACCAGGTCAGATCGGGCATCAAAACAACCTCTACTGGTGCAATTTTTAAGGTGGTCTCTAATTTGATTGTTTAGAGCCTCAGCTCTATATAAACATTTTCCAAACATAAACGGTCTCATAGTTTACCGAAAAAAAAAACAAACTTTAATTGGGGTTAATAACTAGTTTTAACCAGGACCATGGTATTTTTATGTTTGATGACGGTCTATCGAGTCCCATCTTGTTACACTGAGACTGAGGTAGAATGGACCCACCAACGGAGGGAGACTGAGGTAGAATGGAACCCCACCGTAGTGCAACTTGACACTAACGATGAGGTTTTAGTTTTCATCCTTGTGTAGTTATGAGGACTCTGATATCCTTTGTCTTTTCTATCTAGGAAATTGATCAAAAATACCAATGAGGGTTGAATTATTTAACATTTTATTCATTTGCAACTTTTTCAAGTCATGATCACGTATTTTTTTTATGTGTATTTTAAAATTAAATTCAAAAGATATAAATAGAGTTGTAAACATTTCACGGGCATTTAGATAAATTTCCCGTGTAAAATGGAAGAGAAGGATTGGTTGCCTTTGACCGTTGCAAGAAAATAATTGCACGAGGCTAAGAAGCACACTCTTTTGCAAAAGTGTTTCGTTTCTTTTTTTTCTTTTTTTCTATAAATGTCATTTAAAGAGAACTAGTTGAATTAAGGAAAGGTGGCGACGCTATTTCAACTCAATTTTTTTATTTTTTATTTGTTGCTATTAACCTCGTGTAACCTAATCAATTTATGAATGATTTTTTGTTATTAACCTCCTCTAACCTAATCAATTTATGAATGATAAACAATTGACAACATTATTGTACCATAACTGAGGATGATACTTCTTTGGTATTAAATAAAAATAAGCAATATCATAATCAACAACTTGGTAATAGTCAGCCCTATATGATTAAGACGTTGTGTGCTTTCTTTTGAAGAGAAATGTAAATATCCTCTCTCTCTCTTACTTTATGCGTGCTCTCTCTCTTTCTCTATGTACTCTCTATTCAGTGGAAATATCTCTTACAACCTCTATTCTCTCTCTCTTCCCTTATGATTTATTTACTTTTTAAGTTGGACTTAATACTCATGTTAATAATCTCCTAAATATGGGAGCAATGAGATCTTTATCTATTTTGTTGATATGGTAAATATGGAAGCAATATTTGATAAGTGCCTCCCTCGTCATTAAATTTATTGAAAATAATGCATACTTTCTCTCTCTCTCTTTTATGTGTACTCTCTCTCTTTCTTATAATCTCATAAATATGGGAGCAATGAGATCTTTATCTATTTTATTGATATGGTAAATATAGGAGCAATGAGATCCTTCTCTATTTTGTTGATATGGTAAGTATCTCTCTAACTCTATCTTCCTTTATGCGTACTCTCTCTCTATCTTTCTCTCTCTCTCTTTCTTTAATTATGGGAATGTCTCCTACAATCTCTATAGAATTAAGGTATCTTTTTATTTTTGTAGGCATTCTACCTTCCAATACTTTTAGCATCACACGTATAATCCAATTACTATTTTTTCTTGCTTCTACTCTATCAGTAAAAAGGTAAATATTTTAAAAACTAAACTACCTTTCCTCTCCCATACCCTACCCATTAAACCTGTCTCTCTCTACATGTTGTATCTCTCTCTACCCAATATCAATAGCTCTCTACCCAATTTCTTCTCTCTCTACCCACCCTCTCTCTTTCTTTACCCCCCCTCTCTCTCTTTCTGCCCAATATTAGTCTCTCTCTCTCTCATTGAAAAAATATTGCCTGGCACAAAAGTGTGTTGGACTGGCTTCTGAAAATCTAAGAGCCTTGTGAGTGTGTCGGACGGAAGCAAAAACAAAAAAGTGGTTTGACACAAAAGTGTGCCAGACCGGCTTCTGGAATTCCAGAAGCCTCATGGCTGGTCCAGTACACAAAAGATTTTGGTTTGGCACAAAAGTGTGCCGGACCGTCTATGAGGCTTTTGGAATTCCAAGAGCAGAAGCCAGTCTAGCACACTTTTGTGCCGGAACGTTTTTTTTTTTTGTTTCAGTGTGACACAAAAGTGTATCAAACCGGTCATGAGGCTTTTGGATTTCCAAAAACCAAAGGCCATTCCGGCATATGTTTGTGCCGGACTGCATTTTTTCAAAGCGAGAGAGAGACTACATGTTTTCAAAGAGAGAGAGAGAGAGAGAGAATTAACAAGTAGGGTAAAGGAGGGGAATGGTAAGTCAGTTTTTAAAACAATGACATTTTTTTACTAGGGGGTAAAAACAAGAGAAAACAATAACTGAGTTATGGGCGTGATACGAAAAGCATTGGGTAGAATAACTACAAAGTTTAGTTGGTTGGGGGGGATATATCTATAATATTTCCTAATTGTTTTGTCAGACGGTGTATGTTGCTTGTTTTTTGTCTCATATTTCATATCTCAATCTTATCTCTCGCTCTCTTTCTTTTGGAAAAGTATATAAAGAGACAATTTATTTTTAATACAAAGAGGTTACAATCACTATTATTCATTATATTTTAAATTAGGTGGTTCTGAGTTTGTTATTCACTAGACTCAAAGTTTAAAAAAAAAAATTCTCAAACTTTGTGACAGACCCCGTATCAACATCAAATTTGAGTTCTAATGGCTCGAATCATTTGTAACAAACATAAATTGTTCTTGGTATAGAACCCCTCTCTCTTAAGCCTTAAACTTCATTGGTTATGCGCTTGGCAAGCAAACCGTCATAGAAAATAGTAATTGCCAGTGGGATGGAGAAATGGTTTTAGTTTTGAGACTTGTTTCATTGCAACAAAAGAAAGATAATGTGGACACTATCAATGTGGTTGTGTTCATGCATCAATTTATTAATGCGTGGAGAGAATGAAGAATGAGAACAGAATTTTGCTTTCTTTGTGACTTCTCAGTAGAAGCCCTTCACTTGGACGCAACCCAATTCATTTGCTTTCAAGTTTTATCCCAAAATAGGTTCATAACAGTTGAAACCTCTTTAATGAAGATGTCACACATACTTATTGAAGATGACCCAAATACTTATTCAAGATAAAGTATGTACAATGAAGACGCCCAGTATGGGGAAAGAGAGAAGAAAAGAAGAGAGAGAGAGCTCTTTAGTGCGAAAACTGAAAGCATTTGCAAGAAGCAAGCAAAGCAAAAAGAAACGTATGTAGTGGGAGTAGTTGGGCAATTCTCTCTCACCACTCAGTAATAAATGGTAGAGTGATATATGTACGGACCTTAAAATTTAAAAAAATATATAAGTTGTTTATTTATATACAAAAATTATATACAAAATCCATTAACCCATTTTTTACTTTTTTCAATATTATCCTTTGGTCAACCTGATTTTTAATTTTAAATTTTTTTTTGTTCGTAGTGCAGTACCCCAAGCTTCAAAACACGGCCCTACTGATGAAAAATTTAAATAAAAAAAAATTAAAATTCAAGTTGATAGAGGGGCAGGTTCGAAAAATAAAAAAAAATAGATTGACCGATTTCCTTTTTGTAATTTTTGAATGTAAGTGAAACATTTTCGTATTTTACCTAAAATTTTAAAGGAAATCAGGCTCATCTAAAGGGTAACGAGGAAAGCAATACTTGCTTTCTAGAAGGATGAAAAAAAAAACAGAAAAAGGGGGAGAAAATGCATGGAGAGTTTGGTGCCCATTTTGTCTCTCATCGAGGACGCGTTTGCATGAATCACCGGGAGTGGCACTGCGCATAATAAGACCACCATCAATAAATCCCATTTAATTTACTTGTACCCCTAACTTGCATGAACCCTTCACCCTTCTTCATCTATATAATCTCCCTCCTCTCACCATCCATCTCTATCCAGATAGAGAGAGAGAGAAAGAGATTGATTCACCTTAAAAACTAGAGAGAGAGATTGTTTCACCTTAAGAAGTAGAGAGAGATCCTTATAAACTCAGTTTTCGCTCTCTATTTCTATTCTCTCCCTTGAGAATTAATCAGAATGAGGTGCATCGCTGGTTTGATAGTTTTCACGGCAATGGTGATTGCTTCAAGCCTTGAATGGGTGGTCGCTATAGGAGGAGGAAAGGCAGGGACATGGGAGCTCCTCTTAAACAACGCGGGGGTGGTGGCCATGCACATGACCCTCACACACCACAACACAGTGATCATCTTCGACCAGACCGAAGCCGGCCCCTCCGGCCTGCCATGCACCGCTGCCTCTTCGGACAAAGCCGACTGCTGGGTCCACTCTATCGAATATGACATTGCCACCAACACCTTCCGCCCCCTCACCCTCCACACCGACACCTGGTGCTCGTCGGGCTCCTTTCTGAGCGATGGAACCCTACTCCAGACTGGAGGCAATGGTAGTGGGAGCCGCAGGATTCGTAAATTCCAGCCTTGCTCCGATAAGCAGTGCAATTGGGTCGAACTCGAAGACCAGTACCTGTCGGCTGAGCGGTGGTACGCTTCGAACCAGGCCCTCCCTGAGAAAGACCGAGCTATTGTCATCGGAGGTCAATATAACCAATCGTATGAGTTCGTACCCAAGTCGAATCCGGATGAGGGGGTGTTCGACCTCCCATTCTTGAAGGACACCAAGGGCGACAATCTTTACCCCTTCATCCAGCTCTCCTCGGATGGGAACCTGTTCATCTTCGCTAACAGGGATTCTATCCTCTTCGATTACAAGCGTAACAAGGTGATCAGGAAGTTCCCGAAGCTCCCGGGGACTGGTGCGAGGAACTACCCGAGCACAGGCTCATCGGTGATGCTCCCACTAGACCATGCCGATGGCTTCCGACGAGTCGAGGTCATGGTGTGTGGTGGAGGCGTTAATGGGTCATACAGAGAAGCCAGGAAAAATAAGGTTTTCAGGGTCGGGCAGAGCACCTGTGGTCGGATGGTGATCACAGACGAAGAACCCAAGTGGGCAATGGAGAAGATGCCTCAACCCCGGCTCATGAATGACATGATACTGCTCCCCACGGGCCATGTTCTCGTTATCAATGGTGCGAGTCGAGGCTCTGCGGGGTGGGAGTTAGCCACGAGCCCTTTGACGAAACCTTTCCTTTATAAGCCTGATGCGATCGCGGGGCGCCGGTTCTCATCCGCAAAGGGCACTGCCATTGCTCGAATGTACCACTCATCTGCTATTCTGTTGCCTGATGGGCGAATATTGGTAGCAGGGAGCAACCCTCATGCTCATTACAGGTTTACAGGGGTTAGCTTCCCCACAGAGCTCAGGGTGCAAGCATACACACCTTACTACATGGATCCCTTTTTCGACGATCGAAGGGCCATGAACTTGACCATTGATGGTGGCGCAGGCGTTGTCTATCGCGAGAGGTTCGGGATCGAGTTTTGGATGGGAAGAAGACCAGGCGTAATGGAGTTTCATGCGTATGCACCACCTTTCGCAACACACTCGACCTCGATGAACCAGAGGATGCTGAAGCTGGAATGTGCGAGTCTGGTTAGAGAGATGAGTGGGTTTGTAAGGGCTATGCTGGTTGCTCCTCCATCTCCCATTGTTGCTCCTTCTGGTTATTACTTGCTCTCAGTTGTTAATGGGGGGTTTCCCAGTAAAGCACAGTGGGTTAGGTTTATCCATGGCTCTAATGCATGAGCAAAACCACAGTCATAATGGTTTGTGTTTTAAGGGAATGCAGTAGAATTATAATTTTTGCACTTAGTGTATTGAAAGGGTGGTCACTTCTGTAATGGAATCCTAAACCGACCCATGTCTTTGCTTATATTTTATCAATCAAATGAAAAAGGAGAAAATGTTTCTGTTGTTGTCCCCCATAAGACCAAACCTGAATCCTTTCCATTATTTGTATCTTTTCTAACCAAGGTTCGCCATCCCGGTTCGCCGGTGCCTAAGATTAATTCACAATTTTAATCAATAAATTATTTTAAAATTAATTAAAGAACATTAAAATTATTGTTTATAATGTATAATTATTTTACTATACATATAAGAACAAATCTAAAATGTCTTATAATATCATCAAATTTAAAAATTATTATTTACAACTAAAAGAAAAATAATATATTGCATAATTTATAGTATAAATAAATAAATAAATAAAATACAAGATTTGGTTATCAATATATAACTATTAATTATAATATTATAGTAAACATGATTACAAAATTATGAGAAAATGTTTCCATATCATATGATTAAAATTTAAAATAAAACCACCAATAAATTCTAATGTTACGATATTATATAAATTCAAAAAAAATTACCCAAAAAAAATGAAAAATAAATATTTCAAAATAAAAAAAATCCTATCGGCAATATGTACGATAGCTACAAAAAAATAAAAAATAAAATAAAATATTGTAATAAAACCTATCGAAAAAACCATTTTACAAATAAATAACAAAAAAAATTATATGGTCTTTTTTTAATTTGACACGTTAATTAATTTACTTAATAAAAAAAATATGTTGATGTGGTTCGACACGTTAATTTAGAACATGACGTGCTCATTAATATGCCACACTAGAATTTAAATTAGAGGACATGCACATTTAATATGGCATGCTTCAAAAACATGCTCGTTTAATTGACAAGCATACAATTTTAATATGGCAGGCATGCTTCAAAAACATACTTTAAATGGCACCAAATCGTAGACACTGGATGCTAAGGTGGTTAACTGGACCGCTCTAAAGAGACACAAAAATTAGTCCCACATCAACAATTTTTGGAAAGCTTAGTTGGTATAAAATGTAGGTTACTACCCTAATATATGTGAGTTTGATGCGTGGAGGAACCTTGACTCATGAGCTCACGAGCGTAAGCGTACGTTTATATGCAACTTGTATTTTAATGAGCTCCAGTAACTGACGTCATTAATTCATAACCGATGTCATCATTTCGATTTTTGAACAAAACCGGTGACCCGTGACGTCAACTCGACGATTCACTGTAGCGACTCGGCGGTCCAAGAATCCAGTGACCCATGACGTCAACTTGGCGATTCATTGGAGCGACTCGGCTGTTGTTCTCTAGAACCGGGCGATTCGGCTATTGTTCTCTAGGACCGGGCGACCATGCGTATTTCAGTAAAATCGACATTGGATGATCGATTTAGTAAAATCGACTCTGGATGACCGATTCCTATGTCGATGGTGACCCATGACGTCAACTCGGCAATGAGCTCTAGTAACTGATGTTATCAATTCAATTGTTGGACAAAACCGGTGACCCGTGGTGTAAACTCAATGATTCACTGTAGCGACTCGGCGATCCAAGAATCCAGTGACCCATGACGTCAACTTGGCAATTCACTGTAGCAACTCGGCTGTTGTTTTCTAAAACGGGGCGACTCGGCTGTTGTTCTCTAGAACCAGGCGACTATGTGTATTTCAGTAAAATCGACACTGGATGACCGATTCAGTAAAATCGACACTGGATGACCGATTCTCGTGTCGACGGTGACCCGTGACGTCAACTCGACAATGAGCTCCAGTAACCGACGTCGTTAATTCATAACCGATGTCATCAATTCGATTCTTGGACAAAACCGGAGATGTCAACTCAGCGATTCACTGTAGCGACTCGGCGGTCCAAGAATCCGATGACCCATGGCGTCAACTCAGTGATTCATTGTAGCGATGCAGTTGTTGTTCCTAGAACCTGGGGACTATGCATAAATTCCCGTGTTGACGGTGACCCATGAGTCAACTCGGCAATTCACTGTAGCGACTCAGTTAAAGCGATACGGGATGACCGATTCCAGTGTCGACGGTGACCCATGACGTCAACTCGGCAATTCACTGTAGCGACTCGGCTGTTGTTCTCTAGAACCGGGCGACTATGCGTATTTCAGTAAAATCGACACGGGATGACCGATTCCCGTGTCGATTCTGATGAGTCCGTTGTGACTCGCCCTTTTTTAAAACACTGGTGGATAGGATCGACGATCCTGGTGGATAGGATCGACGATCCGATTGAGAGAACCGGGCAAAAAAATTTTAAAAAGATAGGATCGGAGATCCGGTTGAGAAAACCGGGCAAAAAAATTTTAAAAAGTTGATACAAATAAAAAAATTGAAAAAATAATAAAATATAAGGATGTACCGGATTAGTCGGTTCCCTGACTAAACTAGCCGGTTCATAGAGGAATTGGTTGGTTTCCAAATATATGTTGCAATGCTTAAAAAAATTGGATTGATGATGTGGATCGACCACCTTGAATGGATCAGGCGGAGAGATGTCTCCCTTGGAGAGGCCTTTCGATAGATTACGCAATTCTTTGGGGCCTTGTTTGGATGGCCTAGGGATAGGTTTCTTATGGAATTGGCTTCTCTAGGAATTTACCTATCCTTGGGATAAGAGTGTACGCTATTTGGATGACACTTGCAACAAACATGAATATCCAATGTTCATATCCACTGTTTGCATGGCCTAAAAGACGTGTATGTTATAAATTCATTACTACCATTTTTTGTTTTTTGTCCCTTCATTAAGTTTGAGTTTTAGCAATTGACTTCTGAACTTTCATTCCAATCTTCCGTATTGTTTCTTAACTATGATGAAATGCTTATTCTGAGTTTTAGCAATTGACTTCTGAACTTTCATTCCAATCTTCCGTATTGTTTCTTAACTATGATGAAATGCTTATTCTGCATTTTCCTTTCCAATATTACCTTTAGGAATTTTACATCCTAAAGTTTCATTGACCTCAATCAATTGGAAATGTCTTAAATCTTTATTTTTATTTTTAATCTTATTAAAAGTGTCCCAAATGGTAAGAATCAAAGGATTATGACATTCTCCATATTTAGCAATTGTGTTTAGGGCAAAGATTTTTGAGTTTTATTATGAACGAAGCATTAGAAATTACCTATTTTTAAACAAAATCATTTCTAATAAATTTTTTCGTGCGGACTAACGAGCAGCAAAAGCTGAAGCAGCCACTTCTCGGAGGGAGAGTAAGATTTCATCCCTTCTTTCTCTCAATATGGGATACTTGCGCTTCTTAATCAAGATAAAATTTTCAATGCTAGAGAAGACAACCTCAAGATTCTAATTTTTTGCCATTACTGAAAAATAATCCCTACGATTGCCTGAAATTATTGTTACGCAATCCACTTTTCCTCAAAATTAAGTGACAAAATGCTAAAATACTTTAGATTCCAATATTCATTTTACACAATGAATCATCAAATTAATAGCCACTAACAACGAAAGAGAAGAAGAGAAACAATCATTTTCGTCCCTTGAATTCCAAAATAGATAGTTGTAAGAGTGTCATTGAATAGACACAATTTCAAAAAAAATATTTTCGGACTCCTTGACTCACTCAAAGTCATCCAATTTGACATCTAATAAGTGGGAATAATTGTGATCTTCATGTATAAAGGATAAATGATTTTTTTATAGACAATGCCTTTTGTAAAAATAAAGACCTATGTGATCTTTTACCGAAAAATACATTTTTATTTTATTTATTTTTTTTCACCCCTTTCTATTGGCAAAAGATAACTTACAGGTGATCTTTATTACAATAAGATAAATTTCAAAATAAAATCAACA